CAGCTGACTGTGCTGTGGTTCATCTTACGTCGTAAAGTTCCAAAGAGTTTTTACGTAGAAACACAAACAAAGCGGTCCTTTTCAGGGCCACCACACACTCCAAAAAAAGAACTACCGTAACAAACACACTATTTAAATTAATCAAACGCATTCGTTTTTGACAAATAAAACTTTATTGTTGACCCCGTTCTTGGCTAAAAATCAGCCTGGGCGTTTAACCGAGGTTGTCCCCAACATGTAACTTTTGTGAAAACAGGGGGTGGGCGCTTGCCCAGGGAGGGGCGCGTGCCCGGGGTAATACGGTATATAAGAACGAAAACCACTAGCTCGAAGTGCTTATCAACTGAAAAATTGGGACGCAAAATTCCATGAACGTCACCCTCCGGACTTTGATTATTATGAGATGAAATACTATTGTTCGCAAAAGTAATGACACACGTCTGGATTTATCAGCGCTATAAATAGCGTTGTAAAGGGGACACGCGTGGTGTATTTTAGCAACCAAACGTAAACACATTACAGTTTACCACTGCGTTATGGTATATTCCGTGACACATACTTGTGTGTGCACTTTTTAATTAAAATAATTATTCATGATTTTGGAAAAGGAAAGCACCAGAACAGTGACCGGTGAATTTATGTAGCCTCAAAATGCAAAAGGCTGTAACCACATAGTAATTTATCTTTGGTCTTTGTAAAATACTGATTTTCAGTGAAGTAATGATGGGCCATTTTAAAAGTTTTTTGATATTTTGTAAACGACTTTTCATATCTCAATTGTTGCGAATGACAATTAAGAGGCGCAAATACAGACGCAATGTATAAATCGTGATCGTAATAACTATGGGGTGAGATCAGTGCCAACATTATTTGTTTTATTTGAGTGTTTTTCTGTATATTATCAATAAGTTGAAATTTTTATAATGTTTTAGGTTGGCATTGTTTTGACATTTTTATATTGCAAAGTTTATCTTCAAACACAATTGTCAACATATGCTTGTCAGTTTAAACTGTGAGCAGTACTCTTCTCAAATAGCTGCAGAGTTTAAAACCTTTACACTTTTATTTTATATGTATTGGTACTCATTGGTACAAGCACATTTTCAGATTACGGTGTGAATAATATTACGTGGGTTAATTAACTACAGGGATCTCCAGTAAAATCGCGCATCTTTTTCGCAATATTCAAAAAGTCCGGTGATGCATGGAAAGGCATATTGTTACATTGTTCTGCCAGCTCTATATCTCAACCTGGTTATATTGTCTCCTTTATTCAAGCTTGTGGAGTTGGTCGTTACTAATGCCAAGATTAAAATCTAAATTCAGTGTATAGCATTGAACAATTAGACTATCAGCAAGGAATATGTTTGTTAGGCTAGGCTGAAGGGCCTTGTGTCTGGATAGTCGCATATTAACTTAGGGTGCCATGAAACGTCATACATAGTCAACCAATCAAAATCAAAATATCTCCGAAACATCTAGACTATTTTAAAGTTCCACCCACTGTGATTTCACAGTAGAGGATTTGTCATTTGGGTAGTTGCTCTTGATTTGAGTCAATGGCTGCTCATTTCACAAAGTCAATTTTAGTTTTGAATGTTCCTGTGAACGTTGCTCCTAGCACAGCATGAAAAGTTGACCATCTTTTTTCAACAACGCATTTCTCACAGAGGCAATATAAAAAATGTTCTTCGCATTGACAGTCCTGGCGACATTGAATCGGATCATAGCGTGTATTTGATCAGATTTGACTCCGTGAAAGGTAATGTAGAATTGGTCTTATAATTGCATGTAATATATGTATTGTGGTATTAATGACAAATGATCTCCACATTATTAGTGAGTTGTTATTTTGGTTTCAAAGTGAAACATTTTGTCCCGTTCTCGGTGGCCCCTTTGTGCTTTGTGAATTGTTATACATGTTTGTTATATTATGTATTCCTTGCGCGATAGAATTAGTATTAGCGTGAACACTGTATGTTTATGTGCATGTACCATTTATATGTATGAATTGCTCTATAAGGAAATGATGCTTATCAACTGAATAATTTGGACGCAAAATTCCATGAACCCCACCCTCTAGACTTTGATTATTAGGAGATGAAATAGTATTGTTAGCAAAATTAATGACACACGTGGGGATTTGTCAGCGCTATAAATAGCGTTGTTAAGGGGGCACGCTTGGTGTATTTTAGCAACCAAACGTAAACACATTACAGTTTACCACTGCTTTGAGGTATATTCCGTGACACAGTCTTGTGCGTGCACTTTTTAATTAAAATAATTATACATGATTTTGGAAAAAGAAAGCACCAGAACTATAACTGGTAAATTTATGTAGCCTCAAAATGCAAAAGGCTATATCTACATAGTAATATCATTGTTGGTCTTTGTAAAATACTGATTTTCAGTAAAGTAATGATGGACCATTATAACAGTTTTTTGATATTTTGACTTTTCATATCTCAATTATTGCGGATGACAATTAAGAGGCGCAAATACAGACGCAATGTATAAATCTTGATCGTAATAACTATGGGGTGAGATCAGTACCAGCATTATTTGTATTTGTTTTTTTTAGTGTTTTTCTGCATATTATCAATAAGTTGAAATGTTT